AATGCCTGTACCATCTCGGGATCAAGCCGACTGCGATAGGGATCAACAACACGGCCAGCAGCACTAAAAGCAGACTCGGATGCTACTGTTGACACTTGTATGGCCATTACATCCCGAACAATTTGTGAAAGGATAGGATACTGCTCTCTCTTGTTTTTCCACCATGCTAAGATGTCAAACTCACCACTAAGTTTCAGTAGTGGTTCTCCAATATACATGTCCAGCTCATTTGACTCAACCATACCAAGTTCACTTGCTTCATATAAGAATTCTTCTAAGTCATGGTCTATATTTTCCATTAATATATCAGTTGTGTTACTAGGTCTGGGTGCAGCCCCTTCTCTAGTTTTCTTTGATGATGCAGCAATATTAACATAAAAGTTGTACAGTTTCTTTACCACAGTAACAAACTCATCAAGTTCAGCTTGATAATAACCACCATAGAACTTCTTCATGTAGTATTCTATCAGCCTTTTCTTATACCTAGGGTCAAGAAAACAGGCTACAGCTAGAGCAATGTTGGACTGATCCCAATATTTGTCAAATTTTGACTTCATAGAAATTGCCATTTCTCTAATTGTAATATTTTCATCATAGCGCCACTCATCAAGCAAGACCTTGATATCACAGAAACCTCTATAAAATAAGTTTGCAGTAGGGTATGAAGTGCCAGAGAGAATTTCAGTGAGATCATAAAATTTCTTCAAGCAACCATAAATTGTCAATGCATTGTCCCATTCAGCAGAAGATAGAGAAATCTTGGCATACTTACGGCGATCTGAAGACTTCAGCCTAATAAATGCATCCTTGTAGTACAAGGCATCTCGCAGCATTAGGTAGGTAGAGTTCCACCTTGTTGAAACATCCATTTGAATACCCCTCTTTGTATCCAACCCAGCTTCAGTGGCACACTTCATAAGCTCTTCCCACTGCAATGGAGACCCTTTCACAGCTAATACAAGTGATTTGATCTTGCTGAGTGTTCCTGAAATGACTTTCAACCCATCTCTAGCAACCAAATTCAGAATATGGCATGCACACCTTACATGAAAAAATATCCCATCACAAACTAGGGAACCATTACCATTGTCTTTCAGATCTGAAATTATATCATTGACAGCCACTTCATTTGAACTAGCATTATCCAAAGTCAGAGCAAACAGTCTATTTTCAATGTACCATTTAACCATAACTTCAGTGAATGTTTCAGACAACTTTGCACCGGTATGCCTACCTTTTACATTGAAAAAACCAATAATTCTCTTTTGCATATGCCAATTATCATCTATCCAATGAATAGTAACACACATGTACCCTTTGTTTTGGCATGAGGTCCACATATCCATTGTTGCACTAAAGCGGCACTTCATAGTCTTCAAGTATGCATACAAAGTTTCCTTTTCTTCAAGATATCTGTCCATTATTTCTTTCCTAACAGTGACACGGGATTTTATCGGAAAGCTAGGACGGAGAGATTTGATGAAATCAACCAAATACTCATGCTCAACTATATTGAAAGGATATTCATGCATGATTATTGCCAAATTTAATTTCTTCAAGCTAGCTTCTTGGTCAAATCTGTAAGGCTGAACATGAGCAATTTCAGAACCAGGGTTCTTACCAACTTTAAGCTGTTGTTGTCCCTTCACAATACTGTGTTTTGAAAGTAAATGGTGCTTGAATGAAGTTGTGCCATTGATGCCCTCTGCTCTGTATTTCTGCTCACACCTAGAGAAATTGCAGTGTCCCCACAACTCCTCAACTAGCTTTCCTTCCATCTCTACATACTCTTTTTTCTTGGTGAAATAACTCCAGACCCACGATGTCAATTTCTTAAACCTCTTGCCAGAAAGGCGAGCTTGCTCATCATCCTCTTGTTCATCATTGTCGACATTAATTGGCACTTGAACCTGCTCTGTTGCATCAATCTCAACTGATGCTGCCACTGATGCTACTGTAGCTGGACTTTCACAAGTTCCACTAGATGCAACACTTTGAGATGCTTCCCTTCTACTCCCTGATCCTACCAACAACCAAGTGAAACATTGCTAAATTAGAAAAAAAATAATCTAAAATAGCCAAATAATCTAGGACGTGTGAACCGGAACCCACGAGCGACAAATCATGCTGGGGTCATAACTCATATGCATACATAGAAGCTTACAGAGGCTCGGAAATTCACCAATAAAATAAAATTGACCCGAATAAAAGGGTCTTGAAAAATGGAAATAATTGATTAGATCTGGTGACCTGAAAGGAAAGAAATTTGACACCAACTAGTAGCAGTGCACAAACGAAAATGAATTTAGTGGTAGGAAGACGAACCTGCTGTTGGAGACGTCGTTGCAGCCTGTACGGGCGGCGGCTCTAGAAGGCTACGCACACTCCTCGTCTTGGGCTTGCTCCCCTTGCCCCCCTTTGTTCCAGGAGCGGAAGCACGATCTCCAGCAGATGCCATCGACGCGCGGGGTGGGGAGTGACGACCGGTGGCCGGCGGGGTGGGGAATGGCGACCGGCGAGGTGGGAATGGCAGGCACGGACTGATGGCGGCCGCCAGGAAGAGAGGAACGGAGAAGGCAAGTGAGGGAAATAGGGAATACGGGAGTGGAGGTGGGTGTAAATTGTCAAGCACTTAGGGTTGTTAACTTGGGTTGGGCTGTAAGTTGGCTACTGGGCCTGTGGGCCATGTGACCTGTAGGGAATATTGGACCAAATTCGAAACCTTCCGAATTTTAAATACGGTTGCATACCGAATATAATATAAAAATGTAGAAATCGGTCGAAAAAGGCCCATATCGAATTCCGCTCCGTTTTCGAATTTTCTGTTCGAATTTCGAACCGAATTCGAATTATTCCGAAAAAAGTGAAAAACGATCGGGTCAAATGTAGAAAACGATGCGATTCGGTCGGGAAATTTCGTTTTCGTTTTCAACCCTAGGTGTATATGATGATATCTATGTTTGAATATGCATTAGTCAGCAAACATTGGTCATGTTTTTGGAAAATCATATAGCTTTATATGCTTCCGAAAAGTTAAGATTTTAAGGGGCTAAACGAGCAATAGCATACACAACTTTTTTTTTTTTCTTTTTCTTTTTTCAACATGATAACTATTGTGTTAGGTACAACCACAAGTGACAGGATTTGGGCTTTGTTTGAGGTGAAGCCCCAACTGAAGCAAGTGAAATTTTGCTTACTTTTAGATTGTAAAAATTTGAGCACATAAAAACAAAAGAATGAGACAGGGTCAAATATGTGGCAGTACACTTGCTCCACAGAATTGTCTTTGTGCAAGATTTTGTTAGATTTTAAGGGTGAGGATATATAGATGAACTTAAGGCTAGAAAATGTATATTGGTTAGTTTGACTATCATACGAAAATAAGACAGACAAATGAAAAAGTAAAAAATTGTTAAAAATAATTCTATGGATCATTATCAGTATCTTTATCTATTTCTAATTTGATCATTTTTTTACAATTAATTCAACACTTAAGCTTGTGAATGATTGACATCACACTATAATGACTATTGGATTTAATTACAAGTGGTGCAGTTGGTAGATTGGCGCATCTATGTACATTCATTACACAAATCTCTTCATCTTTATTGAAATGATAATTTTTATGAAAAACCTTTGAATTTAGACTCATGTCTCAAAATAGACTAAAGTGATGACGTGATTCACTTTTTTAATATGTTACATCATATAGACCTAGTGTTTTTTTTACTTGCATCGAAGACTACATTTTACACAAAAGGTTCAAAATCAGACGTGACACTAAAATTTTTCTTCAAAAGACCCAAGTATTGGATATGCTAAAGCAGATCCAATGTAGAATGTACATCCACATAATTTTTTATATTTCCTATTATTGTTTTTTCTTTTTTTGAACGATAAGACTATATTATCAAAACAAATATTTACCTACTGAAACAACGAGAGACAACCGAACTCGCTACTAAGCTGAATATAGATAGAGGTCTACCATAAGGTACCCTACAAAGCCGAGAACACATACACAACACAAACTAAAAGATACTAAAATACTCTCACAAGCGAAAACTACAAATTCTAACAATGGAGAATAACAAACCATAAAAAACCACAAACACACATAAGAAACCTCTTCTAGCTAAGCTGACCCACCACTAAAACCACGCCTAAGTCGCTAATAACTACCCTCTAAAAGGCTACCATCAACAACTCAAAAGCAACTGTCAAGAGGTCAATCAGGCGTCAATCAAGCTTTAGACGACGAATGAACAATATATCTGAATCCAACATAAAATATTTTTATTTATATAAAAATTATATATACAATAATGTTGTTGTTTGTCAGGTCTAACGATCGACAATCATACTTAAATTTATTTTCAAATTGAAATGTCATACTTTAAAAACAATACAAAACAAAGTATGAAAGTATGAGGATCCACACGCTTAGGCAACCTCGAACAAATTTGTGTTCTACAAAATACCATACACGTATCTATATAATATCCAAATAAATGCTTGATTTAATTTCCTAAACTCAATATAAAAAAATAACATTCAAAATTGAAAACTATATTATTTATAGTAACAAATTATTATGTGGCATTTAATCCACCTCCACTCCACCAACCCCCATCCAAATAGAGAAAAAAAAAAACAATATCATCTTTACACTTTACATGTAAATGCAAATTTATTCCAAGTTTCAACATTTCCCCACATTCGTCTCCTTATTAAAAAAAATATATAAATTTAAGCGTAGTAGGTAAACAATAAAATAATATATATACAGACATAATTTCTTTAATCATCACAATTCACTTCCACTATCCAACTTCTTTTATTCTGCCACCAATTTCCTTG